GCGTGGCTGAGGTGCACCCAAAACCAGATAGCATAGCGGAGAAGGTACGGTGGGATTCGAAATGGTCGGTGATCTGTTTGTTAACTTGGCTTTCAAATACATTCGAAAGGCAGGGCAGGATGGATATAGGTCTGTAAAAGTTTGGTTCTAGAGTGTCACCCCCTTTGAAGAGGGGGATGACCGTGGCAGCTTTCCAATCTCTGGGGATCTCAGGTGATATGAAAGAGAGGTTGAACAGGCTAGTAATAGGGGTTGCTACAATTTTGGCAGCTAATTTTAGAAAGAAAGGGTCCAGATTGTCTAGCCCAGCTGATTTGTAGGGGTCCAGATTTTGCAGCTCTTTCAGAACATCAGCTATCTGAATTTGGGTGAAGGAGAAGTGGGGGGTGGGGGGGGGGGGGCATGGGCAAGTTGCAGCAGAGGGTGCAGAGCTGGTGGCCGGGGTAGGGGTAGCCAGGTGGAAAGCATGGCCAGCCGTAGCAAAATGCTTATTGAAATTCTCGATTATCGTAGATTTGTCGATGGTGACAGTATTTCCTAGCCTCAGTGCAGTGGGCAGCTGGGAGGAGGTGCTCTTATTCTCCATGGACTTTACAGTGTCCCAAAACTTTTTGGAGTTAGTGCTACAGGATGCAAATTTCTGTTTGAAAAAGCTAGCCTTTCCTAACTGATTGTGTATATTGGTTCCTGACTTCCTTGAAAAGTTGCATATCACGGGGGCTGTTCGATGCTAATGCAGTACGCCACAGGATGTTTTTGTGCTGGTCAAGGGCAGTCAAGTATGGGGTGAACCAGGGGCTATATCTGTTCTTAGTTCTGCATTTTTTGAATGGGGCATGCTTATTTAAGATGGAGAGGAAAGCACTTTTAAAGAACAACCAGGCATCCTCTACTGATGGAATGAGGTCAATATCCATCCAGGATACCCGGGCCAGGTCAATTAGAAAGGCCTGCTCGCTGAAGTGTTTTAGGGGGTGTTTGACAGTGATGAGGGGTGGTCGTTTGATCGCGGACCCATTACGGACGCAGGCTGTGATTGCTGAGATCCTGGATGAAGACAGTGGAGGTGTATTTAGAGGGTAAATTAGTCAGGATGATATCTATGAAGGTGCCCATGTTTACGGATTTAGGGTTGTACCTGGTAGGTTCCTTGATAATTTGTGTGAGATTGAGGGCATCTAGTTTAGATTGTAGGACGGCCGGGGTGTTAAGCATATCCCAGTTTAGGTCACCAAGCAGTACGAACTCTGAGGATAGATGGGGGGCAATCAAATCATATATGGTGTCCAGGGCACAGCTGGGGGCTGAGGGGGATCTGTAGCAAGCGGCAACAGTGATAGATTTATTTCTGGAAAGGTGGATTTTTAGAGGTAGAAGCTCAAACTGTTTGGGCACAGACCTGGATAGTATGATAGAGCTCTGCAGGCTATCTCTACAGTAGATTTCAACTCCGCCCCCTTTGGCAGTTCTATCTAGACAGAAAATGTTGTAGTTGGGGATGGAAATTTCAGAGTTTTTGGTGGCCTTCCTAAGCCAGGATTCAGACACTGCTAGGACATCAGGGTTGGCGGAGTGTGCTAACGCAGTGAATAACTCAAACTTAGGGAGGAGGCTTCTGATGTTAACATGCAAGAAACCAAGGCTTTTACGGTTACAGAAGTCAGCAAATGATAGCGCCTGGGGAGTAGGAGTGATACTGGGTGCTACAGGGCCTGGGTTAACCTCTACATCACCAGAGGAACAGAGGAGGAGTAGAATAAGGATATGGCTAAAGGCTTTAAGAACTGGTCTTCTAGTGCGTTGGGTACAGAGAATAAAAAGGGCAGATTTCCGGGCATTGTAGAATAGATTCAGGGCATTATGTACAGACAAGGATATGGAAGGATATGAGTACAGTGGAGGTAAACCTAAGCGTTGGGTAACGATGAAAGAGATAGCATCACTGGAGGCACCGATTGAGCCGGTCTCCGCGTGTATGGGGGGTTGGACAAAGGAGCTATCTGAGGCAGGTTGAGTGGGACTGGGGGCTCTACAATGAAATGGTATAATAAGAACTAACCGAAACAGCAATAGGCAAGGGAGAGAGGCATAAAGCAATCACAGGTGTTATTCGAGAGAGCTAAGACAACAACTGGTAATGGCGACGAAAGTTTGGGCTGAGGCTAAACAGATAAACAGGACAGATAAACAGGATGTGGTACCGTGTAAAGGAACAGTCCAGCAGGCATCAGCTGTGTAGCTGTGTAGCTGAGTGATCATAAGGTCCAGTGAACAGCAATAGGTGAGTCCGGGAGCAGTTCGATGGCTGCTACGGCACAGGCGAGCAGGATGCACGGATATTGATTGCGTGTGCTAGCGGGCCGGGGCTAGCAGATGGATCTTCGTGGTCGTCGTAACGGGAAGCCTGTTGAAACCACATCAGACGATCACGTCGGCAGACCAGTTGTGATGGATCGGCGGGGCTCCGTGTCGACACTAGGAGGTCCCGTCCGGTTGACAGAGAGGTAGAGAGGTAGCCGGGAGATGGGCCTGGCTCGAGGCTAGCTCAAGGCTAACTGGTGCTTGCTTCGGGACAGTGGTGATTAGCCAACAACAACATCCATTTGGTTGCAGCTAGCTAGTTGCGATGATCCGGTGTTAAGGTCCAGTGATTCAGTGATTCCGGCAGAAAATCCGTTATGTTCTGGGTCGATAGCGCGCTGTGCAGACCGTGCAGACTGGCCGATAATTGTCCAGGCTAGAGCTGGCTTGTAGGTAGTGCAGGCCACGGACAATGGTGAAAACCGCTAACGGTGGCTAATAGCAAGTAGCTAGTTAGCTGGCTAGCTGGCTAGTTTCAGCCGGAGGTTCTAGATAAAAAGGTATAAGAAATAATAGAATCCGTTCCACATTGGGTGAGGCGGGTTACAGGAAAGTATATTTAGTTGAAGGATGAAAAGTGAGATTGAGAAATATATACGAAAAAGACAAAAAACTAAAAAACACTGGCTATTTATACGAGCACACTACAGAATACACGACCCGCACTGCTAGGCCATCTTGGTTTAATTTAGCCTACTGTTCTGACTTGGTGGTGCACATGTAGCCTATAGCCTGTTTTAGAGAAATGTAATCATCGAATATTGTAAGAGCTTTCATTGTCTGCTTATATGCCCCCTTTATGTATCCTATGGTTCTGACTTGGTGTACACGGAGAATACTGTAAGAACGACCCATGTTCTGAATTCAGTTGATGTACATTTCAAAAGTGCTGAACAAATAGTTATATTGACTACATCCGTCCTAGCTCGCTCATTAATGTCTTCATCGAAATTACGGATTGCCTCTTATCCGCTCACCGTTCCCTTATGCCATAAATTTTACCTCTCAATTGTCAGTAGAAACCACATTTGTTTAAGCAAGTCAGCCATATCAGCTATATTGTTTAAAAATCAGTAAATGAGGCTGAATGAACTGTTTCGCTGCCAGACAAGGCTCCACTGATAGCCAGGTGTAGCGGTGGTAAGGATTCACTCCATGGTGCTGAAAAGAAAGCTCTGCTGTTGGGACCCTAACAGTTTGTGGGCACCGTTTGTCACCGTTAAAGTGCAATTAATGTATTGTTTAGTGTTGCGTAGTGGCTTTGCATGCTAAAATCGCCACTGGGTGATGGACATCCACAAATTAATACATACCATACTAAATAGATTGTCTCGGATTTATGTACAGAATAACACGAAATGCTCTGAAACCAGGTTGCAGCGCCGGCCAGCTGCTTCTAATGTGGTATCCTCAACATCCTTCATTGACTCCTCTATAGTTTTTCTCCGTGTAGGGCACTCGCATCTCTGTCCTCTGGATTCGAAGTGCGTGCTGTTTTTGTAGGTCGCTCGGCTGGTAGTTCAGTAGGCCTACAATAGCCCACATTATCTCTCAGGCATCCCCCTTCAACGAGAAAAACATCACCATTTATATTCTGCCACCACATGAGGACGCCAGCCTACCATGGCCGTCTTCAGAGGGCTACAGATAGTATATCGATGATGAGAGCCCAGGGGTCCTAATTGTCAATCATAAACTCCACGCCAAAACCAAAAGGTGAAGAGAACATTCTCAGGATCTCGCTAACTCTCATCATCATATTTCCATTGTTGTGCGGTTTAGGCCTACACCTTAATCTGGTGAGTAGTGTGTGTGTGTGTGTGTGTGTGTGTGTGTGTGTGTGTGTGTGTGTGTGTGTGTGTGTGTGTGTGTGTGTGTGTTTATGTTTCCATTTGGCACAGACAGGTGGCGCACATATGCCATGATTCCCTATATCTATCGTTGAAGTATGATCCTGTGTCAAGTAAAACTATAGTTGTCTTTGACATCTCTTAAAACAAATACAATCTTGAATCATATAAATAGCATATGAATTCACTTATGGTCGAATTCTAACGAAGATGCGCGCATAAAGTTATGTTAGTGGAACCTTTGTGCAAAAGTTACATTTACGCACGGGTATCTGAAGTTCGGAATTGATTTTAAAGGAAAGGTAGAGGCAGAATGTTTTTCAAACAGCACATTTCTCTCAAACAGATAAATAAAAGATAAAGATTATTATTTTTGAATATTTTATTTAATCCTGCCTTTTTATAGCCTAGGCTTTAGAAGTGTATTGTTAAATATTTGTTTTACTTTTCATTCGGTGCAACGCAAACAAGCGGGATAAGTCAATAGTGGACTCTGGAAATCTGTGGAGTTGTCAGACATGCATCCTGTACTCATTGGCTGCCTCAAATATACCAGCTCTGCCTCCCACGTGATACTGGATAAATGCCCGCCCGCTAGCATCCTAGGTAACAGACAATCACAGACCACTGTGATAGGGACACACCTTCGTCGTTTTTTGGTAAAGTTCATGGGGATGCCATTTTAAACTCAAGACGAATTTAATCCACGAGATTTAAGCATTCATTGCAAATTGACTTTTTCAAGTGCATTGCTTCAAGCACATTTACTTGCGCAACTTTACCTATAAGATGTCTGGAGTTTTTGACAGTCTCAGTACAGATATGCATTCGAACCAGATTACCTCGAACAGTTACCACAGCTTGCACAAATCGCAGGAGTCCCCAACTCTACCAGTATCGACTGCGACGGACAGCAGCTTTTACAATAGCCAACAGCCTGGATACTGCGCAGGGTCTCCATATGGCCAACTCGGACCTTACCAGTACCACAGCAGTGGTATGAGCTGCGTTCAATACAATACCAAATCATACGACCTTGGTTTCAACTCTTATGGCACCTACGGCTCCTATGGTTCGAGTTCTTCACCGACTCCAACAGATGCAGGTAAATAACATGTCAATGCTTTCCTATTCACATTCGTATTCTATTATATGTAAGTTATATTAAGACCAAAAATGTGATGTGTTTTTAATTATTGTTCTTACATGTATTTATCAGAGAAAGAAGAAAGTGAACCTGAAATCCGAATGGTTAACGGAAAACCAAAGAAGGTCAGGAAACCTCGAACTATTTATTCAAGCTTCCAACTGGCCGCCCTTCAACGGAGATTCCAAAAGACACAGTACTTGGCTTTACCGGAGCGAGCCGAGCTGGCAGCCTCAATGGGCCTTACACAAACCCAGGTTAGTGCAACTCTTAATGCGTCCCGTTGCTGTCAAATCCCTCATCAGTCTGTGAATAATATAATCAGGCTCAGGCTGGCTACTTATTTTATATAGGCTTGACATTTTGCTTTAGACTGCTATTTATCTTTATCCGGCATTTGTTGTGAATAGATAGTTTGGTTAGGATACGTTTTGAAATAAGCTTCAGAACAATAGTTACAATGTGTTCCTTTTCAGGTGAAAATTTGGTTCCAGAACCGTCGCTCCAAGTTCAAGAAGTTGTGGAAAAGTGGAGAAATCCCCCCTGAGCAACATGTGGCCTCCAGCGAGTCTCCCCCCTGTAACTCTCCACCCGCCACTGCCTGGGACTTTCCACAGAATCAAAGAATGAACAATGTAAACTCCAGTTTACCTCAGAGCAGCAGCCCTCCAAATACGACTGCGCCTTCTTTCTTGGCAAACTATTCTTGGTACTCATCAACGAACTCTGCAACGTATCTTCAGGCTGGCCCGCTTGTCCAGCACCAGCACCACCACAACTCTGCCTTGAGCGCTGGGACAATATTTTAATACAACTGACTCTTACTCGGAGAATACTGGTGAAACAGAAAAAAGGTCATTATACATTTTCACAGACCTCACCAAGCGAACGTTACCCGCAACTTCATTTAGCCTATAGCTGCTAGGGTAATTCAGAATGTCACGGTGCTCACAACGGCAAATGGCAGAATACATATTTTTACAGAATGTTTGTATTTATTTATTGTTTATTTTAATGGATGAAATTTATGAACCACTAATAGCCAAAGCAATCACGTAGTAAGATGCTTTTACGAGTGTGTGTTACTTTTGCATCAGTGCGAGTCCAAAGTTGATTGCAGGATGTGAACAACTGTCACATGTGTAGCACAATTTTCAACTGTGTCGTGCCTTTTGAAAATGACCTAATTTTGTTGTACGAGATCCATGTACTAGCCTACATGTACACATATTTCTATAGGGCCTGTTCTTTATGGTTGTTTTCTTATGTAGGTCAGAATTCGGCTTTGTGCATATTTCACAACATTCTTTTGATATGCCACCTTGGCATCATTTTATTTTTTGATATTGGGGACAAATACTGTACCTTCTTATCCTTCATAAGCTACTGATTGTCCCATATTCTAATTCACTTGTATAACATTTTTATTGTGTATTGTCTTTAATTTATTTTATGGTTAGCAGTGTTTTCTTTATATGATCAGACATTATTTAAATAAAATTATGTTTTCTGTGCACATTGTGTTTTTCTCCATTTTAAGAACTTTAAGAAATTGGCATACTAAGTAAGAAGTGGATTTATTTTTGGATTAAAGCTTAGCCTGGTTCTTTACAGCCTATCAATAAACATACTTCTATTGAGCTTTCTTATTTAGCCTACTGAGAGAAGAAACCTATACTTCCATTCAGTACTACGGCGCCAGAAGAGTTCTGGATCCTTCAAAATACATGTTTCTAACCCTTGTAAATCTTTCAACGTAGCTCACAAAATGTGATTAACGCCACAGGTAGGCTATGGGCTCGACAAACTTTTGGAAGGACGCACATTAAAATACCACTATTTGGGTATGCATTTGTCTTCATTAATGGTTGCAAATTGTTTCGTCTTCTTAACTCATGTTTTATAGTCACGTTAAATCTAGCTGGGTATATGATTCGGGGAACCTGATACAGACAAGATGATTAACAGAGCCGAGACAGTGCCCAGGGCCTGAGAGCGCTGGATTATTCGAAGGCACGCAACACGCCTTGGCATGCGAAAGGGAAGATGAGGGCGTATGACTGAGCTCAACCCCTCAGACTCTTTGGAGTCAGAGTGCCGCTCTCCAGACATTTTATGAACTCAGCCCAACCTAAAAACTAGAACCAAGACCGCCTGAAGCTGAACAACATGGAAACATTTCTCACATCTTGTTCACACACAACACAAGGCCCTTCTCATCAGTTCTCATGAGCGAATCGACCTACATTCGATTTTCCCATCGTTGACAAGGCTACATTATCAATAGTCAACATCATTATTTTTGTATAATTAGCTACATGCTTATGAGATCTTATTGTTATATAAATGTTATCGACTTTATCTCCTAGCCAAATTTGCAAATACATTCCAGATAGTGGGTCTATCCTCTGTTTTGAAATGTACGTATTAAATCAGGATTGTCTTAGATGCTAAATAAATATTTTATTATGTTTATTTGTATTTTATTCACTAAAACATTAGCATATATTCACCGTGTTCTCTTATGTGATGTACAAGACATAGCCTTGAAGGCCTATCTAGCCCAATGGACGAGCGTTTGCTAGGTTTGATAACCATGTCGACCCGTTGCTTTTTATGGTTGAGTGATCATAAGCCACATAAAGTGGAATCGTTTTGCATAATAAGGATGTACCTTGTCAGTGATTGCCACATTACAAGATGGAACATTCTCCCAGGGGCTGTCGTTGCTTTATCTTGATATGAGGAGTCCCTCGGGATAACAGGCCTACCACATGTTGAGTGAGCCCGTGGAGCAAAAAAGCAATATAACACACATTTGGTTGTAGACTACGGTGAATATATGATTGCTTGGATATATATATGTCTGCTTATATATGCTTAATAAGTGGCGCTATACATTTAGTACAATTCACACATTTCGCATGCGATGAGCTAGCGCATGCGTAATATGCGTAATCGTACTAATTCGCTTTGACGCTTTTACCATGGAGACATTTTGATGGAACAAGAATCTCCTCAAAAGATATGCACTAATTCACCTGCTTCAGCGAGGTCTTGTGTCCATATGCCCTTAGTTGAATTGTAGCACTTTCCAGTCTTTCCTCTGTCTACAAAACAATAATACACGTCACTTATGGAAACATATTTGTAGCCTTTACGCACGGGATCAATTAAAGTAAATCTGACTGATTTAATAACATTTTTCTCTGACAGTGTATGTCTGTCAAATAAAAAAGTATCGAGCACACAATGGTTAATGAAAATCACTACCACACTCTTAGAAAACAAGGTTCTGGATAGAACTAAAAAGGGTTATATTGCTTGCTTCATATATGGCACCCCTAACTATTTTATAGTGTTCTTTGATCGGAACCCCAAGGGTTCTTCTTCACTGAACCAAAATTGGTTCTATATAGGGTTCTATATGGAACCAATTTCGGCTATATATAGAACATTAAGGGGTGGCATATATGAAGCAAGCATAGAACCCTTTTTGGTTCTTTCCAGAACTTTTTTTTCTAAGAGTCTTTTGCTCATTGCGCCCTGCATCCATCCCTCTCTCTCTCACAGATTAGCAATGATGTGGCTTTATACTTCCGGAATCCTGTAGGCAATTTGAAAATGACATACCCCTATCCTAATTTATACCCTGATCTGTAATTTCATCCACATTTGCTCTAGTTTGAGAATTCTTGGCTTTCCGATCTGAAAGCCTGCAATTAGTATATAATTCTTCGCAATTTTAGATGTCCTAATATGGTCTGTAATTTTTGCGTAAGATAGTTTCCAGCTATTTTAAGCATCAACATTGTCAAAGTTGTATGTACATAATAAATGGAAATATCAATGCATAGTTTTTAGCATACCATCTTGACTCGACGATAATTATATCTGTGTGGAGCCTACGCTGAATTAGCCTGAATTGCATGGTAACTGCTGCTTTAAATTTTAAAAAATTACTCATCATTTTCCCAAAGATTACCAAGATCTCGAGTGCACAATGTCATCAGCGTAATGAGGAGTAAACATTTATGCTAATAATCTACAATTTTTTCCATTCGCTATAAAAAGGGGAAATAAAGCAGAAATGTTCAGTCATATTCCGTGCTGATATAGCTGTGCTGTTATAGCACTTAACACTACATGGTCAACAGTTTATGGGATTCAAGTGCTCAACCTATGGCCATGCTTCAGGATGCTACTCTAATTTATCTGCCTCTATCTAAATCAGGGAATCTTTGAATCCTGACAAAGAAAGAGTCTGCGTGGTTCCTTTTTAGAGATTTAGGTAAGTATGTACGGAGCGTTATTTTATATATTTTTTCAGTTTATTTTTAAACTTGTACACGTTTTTGTGGGGGTCGGTAGCCTATTTAGTATACACCAGTATTTATTTAACTGATAGTTTAATACAGACATCAACATTTTTAGGCTATAACAATCAAACGGATAACACGGTAGTCGGTTAGTTAATGAATTAGGCCTATTCATTGAAATATTACAAATCTATTTTCAATTTAATTGGACAGCATATTTCTCATGCATTTCATCGCTGGAAATGCCAAAATTATGCACGCATATCAAACTGTAATTTGTTACAAGTAGCCTATTCTAGGCAACTGGAAAACAGAAATTAGACACATTTTAAACAAGGTAATTATGTGGCCATAATGTAACAAGCATTGTCATAAACGTCTCTAGGCCTGTAATGGGATTTTTGATTATTACAAATGTGTAGGCTACGAAAATTGAAAAACCAAGGATTCTCGATTATTATTCCGGAGACTATACTTACCATGTTATGTTACGACTGCTTCTACATCAGGAAATAGGTGCCCTATAGCCTATGGATTGGAAATGGACGGGGCATAGAATAGGCTAAGCCTCCTCTCGTTCTGTAATTTAACCGCAGCCTTCATTAATCTTACATTGTACTTTGCTCATTTTGAACCCTCTTCGCATAGACAATCCCGCGCTATACACCTGCAAGCAATTTACTAGCCCTACATGTCACAGAACAGCAGCGAGATGGCAGCTCACCTATTTAACTTTTTTCATTGCGCAGCAAATTTCTTTCAGTGCACTCTTTTGTTAACGCTGAAAGATTCTCCATGCGAAAAAATTGCTCATAATTACCCCAGAGATGGGAAACTGCATTATAATAAATAAGGGCGAAATTACTGTAATTATGTTGGGTTTGATGGGCTCGGCTCGTAATCAAGGGGAGAATACAGTGAAATAGCACTGACCCTTTTGGATGTGCAGCTGCGCCTGGTCTTTTGGAGAGAGAGGGAGAGGAGATGTATGTTGCAGACACCTTACACTTCTTAAGGTTTATTATTTCCAGGCTATATAGCTACTCCTCATAAAAAGTAGGCCTACTAATACCTAGTGAATGGAAAACATAACGATACATTTTTAACAGAGAAAACAAGGCACACGTTAGCCTATAATATTGTTGATCGACTAAAAATAAAATGATTTGTTATCCGTATTCGGCCCAATAGAGGATTTACCTGTTGACAAATGAAACCAAGACACACTTATTTTTGCTCCTTTTCCTGAACAATAATAATAATAATAATAAAAACATACAGTAAATGGCAACGTTATAATAACAGCAATGTGATCAGGTTGTACACTGAATCAAACAATAAATAAGGCATGCACATGGATGATCTGTGCATGTGTGAACTTTAAGGGTAATTTGTGGCGATGAGTTTGCACCAAGATTGCTGTGGTTTTCTCAAGGGATGGCTGGAGCCTTTTCTGCGCAGGCCAAGCCGGCTAACAAGAGAACATCCCCGCAGGTCACACAAACTGTGTCAAATGTGTTAGCTTAATTACTAGTCTAGCACAGAAATCTATTGGATTTTTTGCATTATTTAAAATAAGCAGAAACATTTTGTTTTGTCATCAACAACTTGAGGGACATAACACGCAGTTTTGTCAGCAGAATATTTTTTTCAGACACCACATATAGGCGACATTTATATTTCTAAATATGTATTTGAACTGGATCTGTAGGCCTAATATTTATGAAATGGACAACTGCGTGTAAACTGCATGGTGCATGCACGGGATGATATTTGCAGTCTATTGTCTACGGTAGGACTGTAGTGTTTTCACTCAATTGGTCCTTTCCTCAGCTCATCGGGTGCTTCAGAATTTTCTGTAAAAGCGCAGTTAAACCATCAACCCCAAACAAGAGGCCCTTTGAACTTTTCACTTTTACTTATCTACATTGAAACCCCACCCCCACCTCCTCGACCAACCAGTCTGTTTGCAGCACCTGCCTCTCGCCCAATTATTCACTTAACACACACCATTGCTCTCTCCTCTATTCATCGATGAAAACGGGGTTTGTTGGAACCACAGAAGCGAGAAAGGAGCTTATAGCGGCTAAATGAAACTGAAAAGAAACAAGCACTATATTGTTGAAGGAATTACAACGTTATAGAAACCGACACATGATTAATTGTGTCAACTCTGAATTGACATGTCTCCAGCATGGCGATATCCAGCACACAGTAAGATATTATGAAAAACTGATTGGTTTATCTATATCCAATAGGCCCCTAGGACCTATAATTTATAGAAACGCTGAAAAAGAATAATATTCATGGCTAAAAGCCTATTCCTAATCACATGTAGGCTATACGGCCAATGCTGCACATTGTAAACTAATGAAAATGAAATGAGTAACCATAGAGGCTTTATTTTATCACATTGTATCTTACCACTGCATTCGTTTTAAATATAAAGTCCAGAATAAATAGCTGTCACATCGCAGGCCTACATGGACTTGTTTTAGGGTTTCACTTTACTTTCTGATCGTTTCCACCGCCCCACTGGCTAGGCCAGCACCATGCCTAGAAACACAATATTTGAACGTATTAGGGCCTACAACACATAGTCTGTAAGGAGTCTGACACGTTATACTGTCCTTTTAAATCATAGTTTTACTGTTTTCAACAATATGTACATAACTTCAATAAAACAAAGCAATAAATTAAAGTGATCAATACAAAACTAAATATTTCTATAGACTGCTAAACACATTAATCTTAATGAACACATAAAAACCCTATTTCACAATGTATCATTAGGCTACAGCACAAACCAAAGCTGAAAAATGCATATTATTTCTTGTCCTTATGTACATCCGCCCGCGCAACACATAACAAACAATAACAAACCATATTTTCATCTTCGGGATCAACTTAGTGCTCTCCTCAAGCAGTCAATCGTCATTTAGACTTTTTCACATAACGTTTGGGGCTCCGTCGTAGAAGAGGAGTTTTGCTTGCATTAGAGCAGCATTTTTAACACGTTGTTGTATTTTCATAAGTCAAACACACCTGCATATTAAATAAACACACAGACTTAGAAAAAAACGAAATAATTTAACTTAAATTAACATACAAAACAGCATGGTAGCAACATGTGGCTTGCGCAATGGCGCAGGAACGAACTAAGGGACGGACTCGAGATTCGATTCCATGCCCATCAAAATGATAAGGCTATTCATTGGATTGGCTTACATTCATTGGTAAAAGTTATATTATAGACCAATGGTGGTTTTGTCTGTTTGAAAGCTATGTTTTAAGGTCATGGTCAAATCACTATGTTGACCTTCGTTGGAGATGCATGGCCTACATCTGATAGGCCTTGGTAACATGCGGCTTCATAGGCCTATTTTTATCATAATTGGGATAAGAAATGAAGCAAATCTTAAAATCAAACATAGGATACATAAATATAGCCTACTCTCACTGACTTGTTACAGCTCAATATATTTACTTTAACACATAGCCTATTAAAATGACACAAAAGATAATAAGAGCAGCTTGAGGACCCATTTTTCCTATCAATTTCCGGTGTCTTTCGGGGACATGAAAGGACTTGTTGCCCTTGGGCGCAGACGGTGCCTTTTCAGTCTCTCGGCTCCCAGGGCTGTTGTTTTCTGTCCCCTCGGTCAGTATGAGGAGGCCGATATGTCAGCTGGCAACTTTGGGAGCAAACTCCGGATTACATCTGTGCATGGCTGCAGCGGGCCAGTGCGAGGCCATGCTGGGTGATTGACCCAAAATCTCCTGATATGGGCCATGGTGGTATAGAGGGCGGGGCAGGTCTTTTAGCTCACTGTTATGTTCACATGAGTTGCGGTTGCTGCATAGACTCTTGGTGTGCAGTTGGATACCATGAGGTGTAACTTGGAATGTAAGACCCTGGTGTAACCACGGATGTTTTCACGGTGGTCGGTGAGCTCCAAACCGGTGATACCGGAGAGCCAGTCGAAGGTACGCGACCATTAAACTGGGCTAAAGCGTTGTTGTCAATTGTTCCACCACCTTGCTTCATCAGTTTCTTGAACTTCGATCGCTTATTTTGAAACCAAATCTTTACCTGAAAAGAGAGACAATCAAGGTCATTAAGATTGCCTAGTTGGGAAATTTCAAGAAACTCTTGACCAGCGGACAGTAACGCACCATTTTGATTTGGAATGTCAAAATAATGTTTTGGTAAAAGCCTCGATTTCTTCCCACAAAGGGTCATCTACATTTGTTTTTGTTTTATTCACACCAACAAATAATTGCAAGAAGAGATGCTTGCTGAACATGGTTTTGCCATTATGGGCCAATTAAATTAAAAAGTAATGCTACCCAGAAGTATGTATTCATAAGCCCAGCCTCGAAATATTTGTACACTTTTTCATAGAATATCAGCTTGATGATAATCAATATGAAACATTTGATAAAACCCACATTTATTCAAAACACGAGGACAGTGGTCTATAACACAACCAAAAAGAGAATAAATAGCCAATGTAACCAATTGGCCTACAATTGTTTAACGTGGTCAAAAGTACATTAAAATGCAAGCATTAAATAAAAGTAAAGGTAGCAAACGTTGACTTGCCTGTGTTTGCGTGAGTCCCATTGAAGCTGCGAGCTCGGCTCTCTCTGGCAGTGCCAAATATTGAGTTTGTTGAAATCTTCTGTTTAGAGTCTGTAGCTGCATGCTGGAATAGATAGTCCTTGGTTTGCGAATCTTTTTTCCTTTCCCATTGAACCGTACCTCTCCGCCTTCTACAACTGTGTTCTTCTCTGTTTCTGGTGCTGAGAAGGGGAGAAAATAGCTAAATTACTCAGGAGACAGCTCGCCAACGTCGCTGCACAGCAATGTGCATCACAGTGCAAGTTTTACAGGCTGTAGTTTAGGTATAATTACCCTTAATTGCGTACATTGTTTATAGCATTACGCAATAAATAATTACCGAGCTTAATACCCCAACATCTGGGTTGCTTTACCAATCCAACGTTTGCTTGCTGGACCGAAAACACAAACCAAAAGGTTCCAAGAAGTTTATAGAGCCAAAAAGGATGAAGTTGAAAGCTTACCTGTATCTTCTAACTGTGTCTGTGTTAGTGCCGAGCTGTTTTGGTACGACTGCACTGTGCTGAGATATGGACTTGAGGAATGGCTGCCGACGGAGTTAACGTATGGATAACCTAAAGATCTAGGAAAAGATGAGGCTGGACTGTACGAGCTCTCGTGTTGAGTATGACCAGCAGAATGTAAACAGTGCATGGAATAGTGTCCGTGAGACATTGAGGAAGGCGACATTTGTTGACTCGGTGGCCCAAATTCCATGAAAACGGGTTTTCCTGTGACAGGGCTATTAAGACTTTCTGGTATTGTAGTCATTGTCATCTCTTCTTGCGGATCTCTCCTCTTCCTTTTTTGTTTTCTTCTATGATCTCAGTGAAGGATGGATCCCAATTTAAGCTGTACTGATTTTTTCTCTTTCCATTCATAAGAAAATGAAGTTTGTCTCTGTGAAAAGTCTAGGTATGATGCAGTGGATCTAGACAAACTCGCTCAAAGGTTTGAATCAGGGAATCATGAATATTCATCAAAGACGGTCGCTGATTGGTCCACTCTATCCAAGAAAGATGCCGATTGGCGATCCTGAGGTTGGGTCCTTTGGACCTGATAAACTCAAGAAAAACAACAAAACCTAAGATTCAGTCCTGAGATGTCAATAAAAAAAATAGTGCTTAGGTAGCAGGGAAAGGTATTAGCAAAATAGACACTGAAATCCTAAATATCTGCTTTAAAAGAAACAACACACAATTAAATCCAGCCTATTTTAAATAATACTAATACTAATACTACTACTACTAATAATAATAATAATAACAATAATAATAATAATAATAATTCAATTGTTGCTAATAAAGAAATAGCCTATTTTATTATAAATCACACAAGCAGGCTATGGTTAGATCCTGTTGTGTCGAAAGGCCTGTTGTTCATTTAAACATTAAGAAACAGCCTGTATTATTATTATTATTATTATTATTTAAGAACTGTTTCATACAAATTAATCACACTACAACAAAAAATAATAATGTTCAGAGATAGCAGTTGAATACATTGAAGTGTAGCTTTGAGGCGTAATAGGCCTATTTAACAGAAAAGTTATGTTTGATTTCTCATTAGATATGATTTCAATATCTCAAAACAAATTGTAATAGATTGACTCATTATTGACAGAGTCTTTTGGTGTTCACATGCACAGATGTATTACTTACAGGTCTATTTGATCAAATTCCAGTCTCAAGTGCTCTGAGCCACAGCTGAAGCAAGATGAATTAGCATTACACTAATGTTTAATTTTCATACGCATAATTAGCCATATATTTAACACTCGCAATGGCTCATGGTCTCAAATATCTGAGTCCTGGTTGAATTGATAAATTCAAGCAATGACGAACCTATGTTACATGCGTAAATATATTGTTGTGAAAAGAAACACTTTCTTAAACAATATTTGTAAAACCATTGGGCTGACTCTGCAACATTTCTCCATAGGCTATGGCCTTTTATTGCTCTATTCTCCACATGTGCAATCATTTCAAGACCAGTAACAAATGGCCTCGAAGTAGCCTATATAACAAACTGTTATGTGTGGACTGAGTCAACCATATAGTCTTCAATGTTTTTGGTGCGGGAGAGATTATTATGAACATGATGAACGTGCGTTATCAACCTACAAAACAGGCTAGATTGGCTAGATTGTCAACTGATGTAAAACACTACACCCCTGGCAAATCTCCAAATGTTTAATTTGTGGGTTATCAAACGAAATGATTGAAACATATCATTCATTTGAGGCTGCTGTTGCAGCATTGTAAAGCAATGTAACCGGTTGTGTTGAGAGTGGACAATGGTGTGATTATATTTATTATTTATACCTTAATTTCAAATTAAATATCACCCTTTTCCAAATTCTTGTCCAGTACATTTTCAATAGGAGTGCATTATGCTATAGCTTTGCTATAATACATATTGGGTGTCCTTTGGCTGACATAAATTTATTGCCCAGCTCTCACAATATACTATACTCAGTTGCCATTAATGGGAAGTAAATAGTTTATATAATACCTTATTAAATATGGAGCATGCAGACCCATGCTGTCAGTCATGCAGCCTGCACCTCCTCTGTAGCTATTAGTGCCTATTAGCTGGCCCAGCAGTTGGTAAATCCGTCGGCCTAGAAGATCATATTTTGTCGTGAAATTCAAACAAATACTTTTCTATTAATATTTTCTATTTACTCTGTAACATAATAATATAGGCTAGTTTAATCGTAAAACAACCTAATATTAAACATACTCATTTACAATTAACATATTCCCAGCGAGGTTGGTGGGGGGTGCGGCCAGTTTCCCAACACGACTGTAGCCTATGTAGACATGAACAATGATTTTCAGAGAACGTTTGACTCAACCGAATGATTAGGCCGTTTCCCTTGGTTATTGGCTCAGTTTTCGAAGGACATTTTGTTCAAAAAACACGCTGATCCATAGGCTATAACAGGCACGTTGAACAGTTGACAGTATGGTTACAGTAAGAATAAATGAGCTCCACATTTCACTCAGCATTGAGATGAAGTGTTAACGACGATTAGTCATCATTTTCACTTACTTAATATCGACAATCATGTGATGAAAAAGAAGAAAATACATCCCCAATATCGGAGATCAGAAAAACTCCATAGCACACCACTCATTGAGGGTGAGGAAGAAGCAGCAAGCATCCAGATCTTCATTTTATTTTTCAATGTGGCCTATGTTGAGTCCTTCTGCTGTGGATGAGCCGAAAGCAAAAACACCTCTAGCCTGTTCCCCAGGCAGCTCAAACTCCCCACCTGAATAACACATTAAAGGCAGTTAAATTCCGTCACTGTGATTATCAAACTAATTACATAATTGAACTCAAAGCAGAACAAGCAACTTACGAATGTGTTTTGAAAATGCAAGCGCTGACATCATGGTGAGCAATATCTAGTCTGCGATGTACATCTAACAGTGGATCTCTGGATTTGAAGAATTCTATAAAATATTAACGCTTATAAGGATAACTGCGATTCACTCCTTTAAAATTGCCCAATTTAAAGCAATTTATTTCTGGAATTGCATTCGAAAAATACTTAAAGGGTTCCTCTATCAACAGCGAAAATGATAATAGTAGTACAACCAATAATTATCATCATCCAGAACAGAGGACAGATTTTTATGGGCACTTGGTGGGTGCGACTGATAACTGTCATTATTTCCCCCCGATTATAGTATCTGCAAACTGGAATTCTGAAGATGAACATGCGTGTTCTAAGCAATAGGCCTACATTTCAGACCATTAACAGATGGAGCAAAGATTTAATTCTAAGGAAAAAAGCATGACAAAGAGAAATAATCACTTATGCATTTCACTGAAGAAAATGCCAAGTAGGCCTAATCTAAAACATAGTGATATTTAGATATAATAACATGCATAAGTCTTTACTATTAATATTGCCTTTCTCAAATGGCATTGTATCTCCCTTTGTTTACAATAATATTTCATTTGACAAAATCCCCAATAGCCTCAAAAAGGGCAAATATTTATTTGCATTTCATGTGACTAACTCATTCATTATTTTCAACCTATATTTTGATTAAGAATAACAAAGAACAACAGAGGATTTTAAAAAATGCAATACTATTATAACAATCAAACTAACTGCAATTCCAAATTGAAATATCATAGCTTTTAGGAACATGCCTTTACATTCTTGGCTCCTGCAGATGGAGGTACCTTGTAATGGCCAGTCTTACAGGATTTCTTGATCTTCCGATGGAATCATGGCATTTCTCTTACTGGCCTACACTAAAAACAAAGCTCTATGTGCATGGAAGCATCAGTGAGAGAGAGAGTTTAAGGAGACAGGACTCATTAGCAGTGAGTGGCTCTATGGCTGAGTGTGTTTTAACACCTGCTGCACTTCACCTGAGGGTTAGCAGCCAGTGCTGAGGGTCAAGGGTGGAGGGAGCAGGGCCTGAAGTGTCACAGACTTCATTTCAGCCTTCTGATGGAAAACCCTCACTAACTACCCCTTCCAACCTACATTTGAACAGTCGGCAAATATTAATGTTGTGGCTCTGGAAGAAATTCGTTTTACTAATGAATCTTCTCAGTACCTATGGGGCTTGCTAAACTAATTGACTTATTTTGCTTCAGACTTTACAAGGTCCATGGTAAATGGGAGTAAATGTCAATGATTAATTACTGTTGATGGTGGCACAGGATACTCTGTTTTATTTCATTTCCTCTGTTGAAGGGAGGGAGACACCCTATCCATGGCAAATCTGACCCATGAGTTGTACAGCTGATATGCTGAATAACTTAACTCTCTAAGATGACCATCCATTGCAGATGCAAATGTTGTTTTCATGAGGTGACAGTTTATTATGAAGAATATCTGAATAATGTTGTCAAATGCAGACAGTATAATGCTTACTTGTTTTTGTTCAGTTTGACTAAATAATGTTCAACAACATTGGCATAACATGCTGGACAGAGTGATACTATATGGATATCTACAGAATACTTACTTATGTTAAATAGGAAGAGGAGACAAATATGTCCCGTTTCAAAACATTCACAAATTGGTTCCATGTTTTCTTAAAGATTGCATGATCAATAACAGTGGTTGAGTGATCGTGATGTATATCCCTTCCAAGTTCATTCTTCTTCTTTCCTGTGTACTGCATTTCCTGCTTCTTGTTCCAATGAATGTGAGTCTCTTGATGTGTAGTACACAGTTCGCTGTGTTCTGGACATAATCTTTCTGTTTATATGAAGATGTAGTTTCTGCAAATATATCCACACTGTACATTGCTAACAGGCCAGGAGTACTAGAGACTGCTCTGAACAACCACTTTGTTAATCACATTTATTATGAGAAAATTGAAAATGTCATAATTTGTTATGCATGTATTTGATATACTTTGTCATCAATGAATATTGCATTCATTATTTGTACTGATGCTGTCTTTATGCAGCATTTAAAAAAGATGAACTGAACAGTAACTTCATGATGCATTTGCCAATAATAGCAAGACATAAATGACTGTATATTTCTCTAAAATCTGCAATAATGCATTGTTTTATCAGAGTTCCAATACTATTGACCAGTGATTAATATCTGTCTGATGTCTAAAACATGCTGTTGATAAAGAAAATGGTAACTTAACAAAATATGATCAATCCAATGTGAACAGATCCTCGGGATGGTATTTCCCCTGGTTCCTTCTCTGCCCTTGGAGGTCCTTGCCTTCTTGTAATTTGCTGCTTCGCTGGGCACCAACTAGAGGAATTAAGTCAAC